TGCTTTTAGAAATTGCCCTAAAATCAAACTTGCTATTCATATGATAAATAATCCTTATTTAGCAAGAATTAAGAAAGGCATTAGATTCTAGGTGTATCTTTTTTTTATGTAGAGTGAAACAGTTATTAGCTATTTTCGAAAAACAACAATACATTTAAATGGTAGTACAAAACAATCTTTAAAGTGTGTAGGGGGCAGAAACATGTTATATAATATTTGCCATTTTAATTTTAGGTCACTTCTTAAATATGTTCATTTCCCAGTCATTAGTGCTAAAAAAAAAAAAAGGAAAAATCATGCTCCCCAAGTATATTTTTTATGCTATTTTAGGATAAACAACAAAAAGTTTTCCAGTTTTTTCAAGATAGCAACCTTAATTTTTATTTTTTCATATTATCTGCCTTCTCATTTAAAACAGAAGATGACAACTGTGTTCACGTGGGTTATGCTTACAGTAAAAGTTACCTTATCTTCCTGTAGTTCATACGTTCCTTTCTTTTTAGGAGAAATAAAGTTACAAGTCTAGAAATTGTCTTCTTTCTAATTTTATCTCATACTGAAAAGCCAGAATGGTTCATAAAAGAGAAAAAAGTAGATTTGGCAGTTGATAAAAACATAAGGATAGTAACCCAGTACATGAATAATCAAAAGGAAGTGGAAATAAGAAATTCATACCTTTTGTATTGTAACAATAAGAATAGAGGTTCAAAACTATAATTGCAGCCCTCCGATGCACTTACTTCAAATAATCAATGATTCAAAATTTCTAGCATTTTTGTAATGGAATTTAACTTACAACAAGGAAGACGGGAATATAAGACCCAGAATGGATAGACTTTGGAAAGAGAATATGTGATTTTTTACTTTTAGTCCTCCCCTATATATATGCATCAGTCACTGTTCTACTGCTATTGATATCTTTTCTACTTCCTTAAATACTGAATTCTTGAAGTAATTTATAGGAGGTGGAAAGAAATGCATGTTCCCAAATGGTTTGAGTTTAAAATTTATGTTTTATTGATTGAAAAGAACAATATCTCTGGAGTTTCTGGGTGTAACCATTTCTATTATTTTGAAAAATTAATATTTCCCAATTAAGTTACACATTCACTTTAAGAAATTTTGCTATGAAAGCAGGAAAAAAAATCCTCTGGAATTTCACAACACAATAGCAGCTTGCTACTGTTAACGTTTTCCCTTTTGGTGGGGTTTTGTTTTTGTAGTCTAAAATCAAATTTTAAAATTAATGTTTTAAACATACCAAAAGTAGCTATCCATGCTGTCTCTTCTAGCTAAAAAAAAAAAAAAAAAAAAAAAAGATTATAAAGTATCATCTACAAGTATAGGAAGCCAAGTTGTTTCTTTTTAACTCTAAAATGAAATTTAGAACTTTGATTGAAAACAATTTTTTCCTGGGAAATTTATTATTTGCCTCTTTGAGAGTTCTCTAAATGTTTATTCCTTCCATTAACCTTTGAAAATTGACCTCTTGCCCTAGAGTGAGACTTTAACAACAGTGGTTCAAATATACCTAAGCCTTTTACATATTCAGGAAAAGGGGGATTCATTTAATCATTATATTTAACTCCCTTGCTGAGAAAGCAATCAGATTGCCTTGTTTGTTAGAAACTATGAGAAAATAATGGACTGCCCGTCCCCCCAGGTACAGATTGAAACTAAGTTGTTGAAGTTAGTTGCTCCTCCTTGCTACCCCTGCTAGTTGTCTTGGAAGCCTCGCTGGGAATTTTTCTGAAGCAGCAGTCCCATTAAGTCAGGGTTCTGCTAGAGTTTGTCTATGTGCTAGCCACAGCGTAGAACTTAAGAATTCCATCTTCTAACCAAAACATGCTGTTGAGCAGTGTCATTGGAAGTGTGAAGGTGATGAAGAAGTCAGCCATATGTGCCTCTTGTGGTCTGGGGAAGAAAAATAGAATGAAGCCTTCCTTATAGGGAAGAAAAATCATACTTCCAAAGCGCTTCCTTTGTACTCAGCATTGTAGTAATGCTGGTGCTGATTTGTATTCCATAGGACAGTACTTCCCAACCTTTTTCGTGTACACAGAGAAGATTATGAAATTTGTCCAACACACTAGGGCAAGCAGATAAAGCTGCTCTTGTCTTGAAGAGACTGCCAAGGAGCTCCAGCTATTCTAGACCATGTCCAGCCATCCTGCAGGCTGAGGGAATTAATGTCTGGGCATACTTAATTCTTAGGACACTGATTGTAATCCTCAGCCAAACTACAGATGTCTGCAGTGTGGTCTGAGCCTTAAGATTTTAGACTGGCATGCACGAGTTAATAATAAACATACTTGGGTGACTTGGAAAAAGTCCTTGACATTCAAAGTCTCTAGAAAAACTAAATTAGCTCTTACAGGAAGTAGTTTTCAGTCTTACAAAGCTGGTTAAGCTTTCACGGTTTTGCAATTGTGACAGTATTGGTGACAAGGTAAAGTCCATTGAGCAAGAGAAAATTAAAATTACTCTCAAAAGGGGTTGAGTCAGAAGAAGGGGCAATTATATAGTAGGATTAGACTTGGACAGCTTATGGTTTTGGAATATATTTTGCAAAACAAATAGGTGTTATGAGGGTTATAGTATCTGCAGACTTGGAGTCAAAGTTAGTCTTAATGTGACTTCTTGCTAGGAGTACAGTCTAATCCTAAACTTATTTAAGATGTTTATATCTAAACTCACGTATTCAGTAGGTTTGGCCATTGCTAGAGTATAAATTAAGTATCCCTTAAGAAAATTGGTACGCTGATAGAACACTATATATGGTTTCTAATTAGTAGTTCGTCAGTGCAGCAGTCTCAGATTTAGGATTTAGAAATGGCACAAAAACTCAGCCTTTTAAAAGTTGCTATTTTCTAAAGTAAGTAGTATAGTAGAGAAGTAATTGAATGTGTAACCGTAACTCCTACTATGAAATAACCTTGGGTTTTTATTGCCAAATAAATCCTCAGTGGAATCTAGTCACCATTAGAATCCATACTTAACGGTAGAGTTCAAACTGGAAATCAACTCATAGATTTAATGGGAATATAAATTCATATAAATTTATATTGATAAAACATTGTAAACAACATCTATCATTATTACTTCATTGTTTTGCATGTCTTTCCCTTTGAGAACAGAGCAAATGATCATAGCTTACAAAACTAAAACTCTACATTAAAAATGGGATATAGTTATAGGATAATAATGTCAGACTTCCTGCCCAAAATGCTCTAAGATAAAGGAACTCCCCTTAGAGTCAAGCCCAGCTAGTTTAATGTAGCCAGAGATGCTTATTTCCAAATTCTTAGTTTAAAATAAGAGTAGAATTTAAAAGCAGAATTGTGCCACACCATGATGGTGGTTCTTTAAGGTAACTGGGTATTTCATAGTAATTGGTATAAGTAAGAATATATCTAGCATTTCTGCTGGGTATTAACATATCTGTATATTATTCTCTCATCTGTGATTATATACATGTTAAGTTTATTTAAGCCCCCATATTTTTGTCTCCTTTCTTATCTCTTCCATTAATGAGTTATTATTTACTGGTATTTTAAAAAGCAGTTATCAAATTGAAAATCAAAATTTTTGGCAACTTTTATGTTTTGAGCCAAGTGCATCTCTTTCTAGAATGAGTCTATGAACTTCTTTTAAATTCCCTTAAGAGCAAATTATTATCCATTTTAAATTCTGTAGCATAATTGGTAATCTCTACTTCATAAATCAGTTATTATCCTTCATTATAATGAAAACTCCCTTAATGAAAAGTTAGGTTCTCAAATAACAATATACAACCCTTCTTAATTTTAAGGTTATAATGATGAGCACAAGTGCTGTTTAACTAGTCACTACTATTACCTTATTCTTTAACTATAATCCTTCATACATATAGTCTTTAGAACTATTAAATGAGTTAAAATCCAACTGACTCTGAAAAATATCTTCCTTTTTAATCCATCAGCTTATGATGATTCTTCTGCTTTTTATGTTTAAATTCTTATCTCATTTCTATTTGTTGGTACCCTGGTGGGATAGGCAAGCATTCGTGTTGAAGATAGTATTAAGACCAAAATTATATTGCTTTTCTTAATGGGGGAACCCTGAGGCTACTCACTCAGTCCATTGAGGGGATAAGACAGATGGTTCATTCCCATCCAGTTTTGTTTACAAACGATGTTGCTCAAATTTAGGTGACTGGCTACTAGGGAAATAAATGAATGTGGAATTGAGGATGGAACAAAGAATTCAATGCTTTACAATAAATGGACTATATTTGAGAGTTCAAGAGAGGATTGGAGAAAATAACTGAGTATGTAAAAAATGGTAAGTTTCTGATTGTTCAGTTGAAGGCAAGTGGCTGGCTCGATGAAATGACCTAATTGATAGTTTTCATCTGTGACCCTGATATCTTAGCCTCTATCTCAGAATTGAGAAATGACCAGAGTTTATCAGAAAGGATTTTCATTGCTGGTATCTTTTGTGTGTGCATGATGTGTAGTACACACAGCTCTCCTTATTGATCCTTCACAGGTGTATTATTTACTTTGCCTTCCAGGTGTCCGCAAATATGGTAAAGATTTTCAAGCTATTGCAGATGTAATTGGCAACAAGACTGTTGGCCAAGTGAAGAACTTCTTTGTAAACTACAGGCGTCGGTTTAACTTAGAGGAGGTATTGCAGGAATGGGAAGCAGAACAAGGAACCCAGGCTTCTAATGGTGATGCTTCTACTTTAGGGGAGGAGACAAAAAGTGCTTCTAATGTGCCATCAGGGAAGAGCACTGATGAAGAAGAGGAGGTGTGTTTGTGTATGGAATTTGAGCTAATATGAGTTGAGGAATCACCATTTTGTGTGGTGTTCTGTAAGGTTAATTTGTCAGAGGACTAGCTAAACGAGCATGAAAGGTTGACAATACACTTACTCAGTGGTGCATCTCTCGTGACTCTTAAGTCATAATGACATGCTAAGTTCTGATTCTAGAAGAATGGAGAGTGTATTGTTCTTTCATAGTCTTATTTTTATTTCCAGTGTTAAGCTGTTTACAAATAAAGATGCCTGTTTGGTAGCCTCGTTGGTTTTTGATTTTTTGTTTTGTTTTGTTTAAAATAAAAGAAGCTTGTGCTTCCAATAAACACTGGTGTTACGTTTTTGTTTTGTTTTGATTTGCTTTGTTTTTCCTGTGACAGCCCAAACTATTTTGTATTGAGTTCATTAGGACTTACATCTCATACATGTATTTTTGTTTCCTCACCTCTAGGCACAGACCCCACAGGCTCCTCGGACTCTGGGTCCATCACCTCCTGCCCCATCATCCACTCCAACACCAACAGCCCCCATTGCCACTCTGAACCAGCCTCCACCACTTCTTCGTCCAACACTGCCTGCCGCCCCTGCTCTTCACCGGCAGCCTCCTCCACTCCAGCAGCAGGCTCGGTTCATCCAGCCCCGGCCAACTTTAAATCAGCCTCCACCACCTCTCATTCGCCCTGCTAATTCTATGCCACCCCGTCTAAACCCAAGACCGGTGTTGTCCACGGTCGGTGGTCAACAGCCACCATCACTTATCGGAATTCAGACAGATTCACAGTCCTCACTGCACTAAAAATCAAATTGGACAGAGCTGCAGTAACTTCTTACCCCATCATTATACCAATGCTCATCTAACTGATGCAAAACAGGAAAGAATAATCCTTCCTAGATACTGAGGCTGCGAATTAGTTCTGTGGCAGTGGACTAGCATAAGTGGATGTCTAAGAAATTTTTCAGTTCCCTGTACAACAAAAAGCCTCTAGTTAGCCTCCTTTCTAGAGTATATGTTCAGCAATGTGATCTCATAAAAGGAAAAAAAAATTTATGTATTCTGTATACCAAGGGTTTTTTTTGTTTTTACTGTATTTATTTTATTGAGGTTCTTTATATTCCTGCCTCTTCATAGTCAAGGCTCTTAGTACAGGAATATTGACTTAGGAATTGTGAAAACTCCTTAAGTTTCTTAAGTTAAGGATGTTTGGCTTTTGTTTTCTTTAATTTAATTTTTTAAAAACGTTTTCCTATGTTAGGAGTGCAAGAATAAATAGCCTGCATTTCAGATTTTGACATATGTTCATTTTATGCATATTTAAGAAATTATAGCTACATATCCCTTTTTTCAAAAAATGTTGCTTTTTTTCCTAAAGGAATTTTAATATATTCCTTTAAAAGAAAGCAATTTAATCAATTGCAAAGCAATTATATGAAACCACAAAGAATGTACTGAACCTACTAACCCTTTAACATACAGTTTAGGGTCCTAGTGAAAAGTCCTTGTTTATAGGTCATTGACCTGTCATCAGTAATGAGAGGATTGGAATAATAATTTTACATACAAATGAGGACTTAATTTGTTGAAATATAATGTCTTTAAGTTCCTTGAAAATGAAGTTAATTTTGAAAGAAAAATTTTTTTTTTATGTTTCTAAATGCTATCTGCTTTTAACTAGTAGTTGCCTACACTTGGGGACTTTAGAAAAGAATTATATTTTGTCAGTTATGTAGAGATGATGGTTATGGATGCATTTATTTACAATACCCTTTTTGTGTTTAGTTTATGAGCTTCAAATTGCCCTCATACTTAATAATGTGGTCTGCATTTGATATGAAGGGTGTTTTCTTGATAAATCTCTGTTGTACTATTTGGATACATTTGTGTATTCCTTGCAGCCAACCTGTACTCGTGGGATTGGTTTAGGGTTAAATCATCAACACTATTTCATAAAATAAATTTAAGAATTTGTTCTGTGTTATCTAAAGATGTATCAGTATATTGTCACAATTGTGCTGTTAACTAAAAATGCCGAGACCCCTTTTTATAAAGAAACAAAAAGACATTTCAAGGCTTCTTACTTCAACACATAATCATTAAGCACTTACAAAGAATATTTTATAAGTAATAGTATTTCAGTGTGTTACTAATATTTTTGATACAGTGATTTCATATTGGAATCATGATTTGTGCAAAGGGACAGATCACTTAGATTGCTATATACTAGTGGAACATAAAGCTAAATGTTTGCACATTCACCTTCTTACCACGTTTAGAAGTACTTCACAAAATAACGTCTAAGGCCCTAATTTATGTTTTGAAAGGTCATGTATTCCCCAAATATAGGAAAAATAGTCCCTACCATTGGCTCCACAGCATTAAAGAGCTGTAGGTTTAAATTGATTGATTAGTTTTAATTTTCAATTTTAGACCACTTCTTTCCATAAAGACTCTTTAAGTTCTGGCATAATCTAAAACTCTTCTCCAGTATGGGTCCTTTTGTTTCTCATTGGCTTATCTTAAATAGTTCTTGCCCCTGGATTATAACCAGATGAAATTTAACTGATAAAAAATTCTTAATATTCAAGAATGTATAATTATTTTTTCTTTAAAAGCCTCGGGTGACAGTTATATATCTTAAAAGAAAATATCTAAAGCATTTTTAACGCACTTAGATTGTCTTGCATATGTGGATACTATACCTTAACAGCTTTCATTGTCTTGTCTCTTGTCAGTAGACCTTCAGTACACAGTATGTGGGATGTCAGTCAAGTTGGTCAGCACCAGCATCTGTCCAGCTGTTCAGTATATTGTGATTCATATAAAATCTGTTCTATCCCAGACATGGGCCAAGGTGCTGTATCTGAGGGATGTGCTGTAATTTGATTTACGTACATTAGAGCACACAGTAGAAAAATCTTAGCTTCGTTAGTAATATGACACATGTATATAGTGAGATGTCTTTATTGTGTGCTTTGCATATTTTGTAAATATTTTGCACGTCATTATTTTTCTTTTTTGCTTAAGCAGTGTTTGGCCTGGAAGAGTGATATGCTTGCTGCTTAATCAAAGGATTAAAGATTTAAAGATGTCTATGTCTTCTATTTTTATATAATTTCATGTTGTATGAGAAATTTAGGACCTCTTCACTGTGAAATTCTAAATATTGATTTTTATAAAAAAGCAAAACCTAGAAATCTTTGACCATTTTCATTAATTTCAGGGTTATTTTTGAAAAATCTACACCAAAGTGTTTTTTAAATTACATAACTAAAAATAAATCACACTGTGGATACATCTGGTAAAATTAATGAAAAAATATTTTTTCTGTATGTTTTAATTCTGGTGTAATATGGATGAAGGTAAGTTATGATCAAAATTTGTTCTTAATAAGCTTACAATTAAGTGAGTAAATAGAATATAAAAGATGAAAGAACATAGAATTTTCTTAATATAGTACATTCTTTTTAGCAATAGATGTAGGCAGCAAGCCAAGAACATGACAGTCACTATTTTTAAAAATATTAAGAATGTTGCAAGTACAGTCTTGTCTCTTAGCTATGGGATATAGTCAAAAATGCATTGTTAGGTGATTTTGTCATATGAATGTCATAGTGTATACTTACACAAACCTAGATGGTATAGCCTACACACCTAGGCTATATAGTATAGTCTGTTGCTCCTAGGCTACAAACCTATGATGACAGCATATTACTGTACTGAATACTGTAGGCAGTTGTAACACAATGGTAAATATTTGTGCATCTAAACATAGAAAAAGTACAGTAAAATACAGTATTATAATCTTACGGGACACCATTGTATATACAGACTGTCATTGACCAAAATGTTATGCAGCACATGACCATACTTTGGTTAAAGTACCAAGTTTAGTTCTTAAATATGTCGTATTTAATATTTACTCCTGTTAGGAAAAGAATACTACCCATAAATATTAATAACTGCCAACTAGTTAACACTGGGTATCAGGATCTCCTCAAAAAAGAATAACAATCTGACTTAGAACTCTAAGCAGAATTTCTCTCTTCATGCCTCCCCAAAATAAATGATGAATACATTCTGATTATAGGAAACATAAGAAAAAGAAACTGAAATGTATATTAGTTTCTTAGACGTTCATTATAGATTACATTGTTGATAAGAAGATAACAGAACATTAAGTGCAAGAATCAAGTTTGAGAAACCATGCTAGATTAAAAAATGTCTACAAGAACCTTTACCTAATTTTCTGATAGCTGATTTGTGGGAGTACATAAACTGCCTTCTCTTAAGAAAAAATATGTCACTCCCCACAACTTTCATCCTTAACTTTAAATAACTGCCTTGGTGAAGGAATGTTCTACAGCAATAAACATCACAAGGAATGCTCCTAGATGTGTGTTTGTGTCTAGAAGGCCACACGAGGCCGTGTGGCTTTACCTGCCCTCTTTCTGCTGTTAAGTCCTCTGTAGTTTACAGGGAAGAACAATGAAGACCAAAAGTTAATGTTGGATTGAGATGTTTGCTAGTTGTCATTACCAGATTTAAAGTAGATTATTGATGAGGGAATGGGTCTTTACAATGTGGTAACTTCTTAAACTTCAGAATCCTAAGGTAGAATTAGGGTGAGTAGGATCTCTCAGGAAAAGATGCCAGGGATGTAAAGTGGAGAGATCTAAGAGCAGTCTTCACAACATAAATGACATGGAAGTTAATGTCCTAGAATGCTTTATATGATGTTTCTTTCCTTTGGATTATTTTAAGAAAAGTTAAATTTTTATTCTCTACATTGATTTCAACATACTAGGTACAACTTACCAATAACTAGGAATATCCTGAATAATACTACAACACAAGGTATCTCTTAAGGGATCTGTGTAGCTTACTACTGGAACAGCTTTCTTGTTTGACAGGATTTGGCTTAAAGAGGCCTTTACTAACCTCAAGACTATCAATTGGGTGAATTTTATGGTATTAAAATTATAACAGTACAGCTGGGCGTGGTGGCTCACGCCTGTAATCCTAGCACTCTGGGAGGCCAAGGTGGGCGGATCCTTTGAGCTTAGGAGTTCGAGACCAGCCTTAGCAAGAGCGAGACCCCGTCTCTACTAAAAAAAAAACAAATTATCTGGACAACTAAAAATATATAGAAAAAATCAGCCGGGCGTGGTGGCGCATACCTGTAGTCCCAGCTACTCGGGAGGCTGAGGCTGTAGGATTGCTTGAGCCCAGGAGTTTGAGGTTGCTGTGAGCTAGGCTGATGCCACAGCACTGTAGCTTGGGCAACAGAGCGAGACTCTGTCTCAAAAAAAAAAAAAACAGTAAAGTTGTTTAAGAATGAAAAAGTATGGAATTGCCAGGTTTGAACAAAAGATGCAGCAGCCGCAGAAGGCATCCCACAATGAGAGACCCTCACTGTGCCAATAGAAGGTATTTCTCAGGATAGAGGGGCAAGGTCATGGAATACTGAGGTGTGGTTGGATTCAAAGACATTTGAGCTTTGTCAATTTTTACCAGGATTGGCCCTTCCTGAACTTATGCCTTTCCTTTTTAATGCTCCTGTCCTATTTTCTGTGAAATGGAAGATATGACTAACCAGGGTTACAAGAGCGTTGCTTGAAGTCTCTCCATATAAAGTAAGCACCATCCTCAAAAAGAAATACCAAATAATGGTTTCCCTTGTCGGCCTATTAAAAAATCTAACAAGACCAAATTGTGCCAATCAAACCTGTGAGCTTACTTCATGTTTCCTAAGGTGAAATAATAACTTCAAAATCTGTATTTTAATGCCTTATGGTGACTATGCAGAATTAATAGGTTAAAATGTTTTCCCAGAAGTGATGGGAATTGCATGTGTGAATCTCATTAAAGAAACTGTCAAAATGGACAGAATTCACGTTTAGCCAGGTGTATAATGAAGACAGTCTGCTTTTTTCAAATTGGTGCTGAACCAATACACAGATAACAATAGAGTAAAGCCAGGTAGAACAAAAGAAACATGGGTCTTTCTTAAGCTCCTAAGCTAAAAGTGCAGCTGCTGGATGCACATACATAGGCTCTTTTGGAAAGGG